GTCTTATTTAGGTTTCTAAGCATCCTAGATTATCAGTTTTGCCACTGTGTTGTGCTTTGTTTTATTTTGTTGTATTTTTTCACCAGCATTCTCTACATTTTACTTTATAACATGTTTTTGCTTTTGTGAGGATGATGGGAGGGGATGGTGAAAGGAAGGAACAGCTGCGCGGCACACTTGCTCCAAAGTGTCGCATTAGATGAATACAGTTGGAATCCTCAAAAGCATTATAATTAATGTTTTCTCAGGGTTAAGAGAGCAAAGTGACCTGAATACAAGAACTCCTTCACTGAAATTCTGATACATCATCACATTTGCCAAACTAGAAAATCAAACATTTTTTCACTTCTGCTTGGATAGATTTGAAAACAGTTGTCCATGACAATGTGGCATATCATTGACAAATTATGCCCTAAGTAGGAAAATGTTTGGAGAATGAATTTTTAGCTCACGACATTCCCCTGTTATTTTCAATAAGATTAATTCTCAAAATTAATCAGTAAGTATGTCAATCTAATTAACTTTTTAAAGTCATTTTTCTTTATTCTACAATGCTTAGGGTGATAATAAATTAAGCCAAATCAAATTTTGTGTGTGCAGAAAGTGACAGAAAGGGAAAGGAACCAAGGTCTTTTGTAAAATGTAATCACTTATGAACTTAAAAAATTCTCTCTAAAACATCGAGATACTACTATACACCTATTAGAATGATGAAAACCTAAAACTGACAACACCAAATCCCGGCAAGGAGCTCTTATTCATCGTTGATGGGAGTGTAAAGTGGTACAGTCACTTTGGAAGACAGTTTAGTGTTTTCTTCCAAAACTAACATACTCTTACCATGTGATCCAGCAATCATGCTTCNTGGTTAAGAACTTTGATTATAGAGCCATGTCAGGCCTTAAAAACTAACGCCACCTTAAGTGCCATTACAAGCGGCACCATTATGGGCCCACAAGGACGTATTAACGTGGCAGCCTAAGACGGTGCCAGGAGGAAGTAGGGTGGGAGTGTCTGCAGGAACCTTGCCTTAGCCCTTATTGGCCAAATACACGTTTCTGTGCTCTTGAACACCGTGGTTGCAATAGCTAGGCATTGAGACAGGATGCATGCTCTCCTAACCTTTAAGCTGATTGGAGGATGTAAAAACCTCCCTTCCCCATTTGCCTTTAAAAGCAAGTGCTTGTGTGATAATAAACGGAACTGCTCAACAGAACCCCCGCCGTGTCTGAGTGTCTTTTAACCAGGCTGGTTGGGGCCGGTGGTGTGCTCACCTCTCTTTATGGCTCTCTTCCTCCATCTCCTCTCAATGGGGACAGGGGAAAGAGGAATCTGGGCAATTCACCCGCCCACCAGAAGGGACACCAAGGGAGAGACTGATAGCAAGGCAAGGGCTGTTTGGGTCAGCCGGTGGTGGACCCGACAGAGCCAGAGTTCAAATCACATCTCTATTATTTACTAGCTGTGTAACATGGGCAAATTATAATTTTTGTGTCTCAGTTTCCCTATCTATAAATTAGCAATGATACTAGTACCTAGCACATAAATTTAATGTGATACTTTTATAATTAAGAATATGTAAGTTTTTCAGAAACATGGCTAGCACTTAGAAAGCATAATGGAATTGTTAGCTATAATTATACTTTCAAATCTAACTTTCATGCAGATGCAGTGGATGATAATGGAAATAAAGAAGCCACATATGTTCGAGTTAGTAAATGAGTGATTGATCAATATTTCCATCATACTCAAGCTTTGCATTAATGCTTATAGTTGGATGATAGGTGAAAACAAGTCAAATTCCATTAGCAGCCATTATAACCCTGAAATGTATATACACATCTTTAAATACATAAAACATGTTAATACCAATTTTTTTTTCTTTTTGTCTTTTTCGTGACTGGTAAGGGGATCATAACACTTGGTGTGGTGTTGCCCACACTGCGCTCAGCCAGTGAGCGCACCGGCCATTCCTATATAGGTTCCGAACCCATGGAGGGAGCGTCGCTGTGCTCCCAGCACCGCACTCTCCCGAGTGCGCCACAGGCTCGGCCCAATACCAATTTTTAAAATTAAAAAAAAAAAGTCTTGAAAATGAAGAAAAATAGTTGGGGTTATTTAAAAAAAATTTTTTTTAAATAAATGACAGCATGATATTTATTTTGTTCATCTCATTGAGGTGCTCATCTTCCTATCTCATATAACTTGCATGAGTACTGTTAAGTCCTAAGAGTTCTGTCCTAGAGAAAAATAAATATTGTCACTCTGCAACTGCTGTGATACTGGGCATTTTTTTTTCCATCAGAGTACATAGTCATAGTGTGTATGTCTTTACAGATATAATGTTAAATTGAACTAAACTTAAGATAAATATTACACACATTTTATTTTAAGATACCTACATGTATTATATTAAAATATCTCTACATATATTGAAGTATTAAATACCTAGGTTCATGCAGCTTTTTTTCTTGCCCTTAAAACTAAGCTGTAAGAAATAATATAAGCAGTATATTGAAAAAGGGACATAAATGTGATATGAAAAGAAAAAATACATTTTAATTGATTATATTTTACAATTTAAATATTTAAAAATACATGTCCTTAGTATGATTTACTCTAATTCTGTTGTCAGAATTAGACTAATCAGATTATGTTGTCTCCTTTGTATTTCTCTTTGACCTCTCCAAAAAGAAAAAAAAAAAAAAAAAAACTATCCATTTGCAAAGGGCAATGTGGACTTAATCGAAAATATGTAAGGGAGATAGAAGGTGGGTTTACATCACATGATACACAAATCACATATTAAATTCAGTTTAGACTGAGTAGTTCTTGTACTTTTCCTTTCCTTATGCTAACCATGGTGTGCCTTACATTTCCTATACCCTACATGCAGTGCCCAAGTCTATCTCTCAATTCCAATTATTGGACTTCTCCTGGGGCTAAAACTTCTTTATCATACAAAAGAATATGGCTCTATTTTAGATCCAACTCTTAAATTTGTATAACCAAATACATCACATTTCATAGTTGCCAACATCTACCTTTCTTAAAAGTTAATAGCAAATAGAAGAATATAACAACACCAACATCAAAAACCAGTATCTGTCACACTCTTACCTCAGAGGGCACATGTATTCGCAGTGCTAGAGGATAGTGGAAATTCCTAGCCTCTCTGTCTTCAGCCATATTTTTTACACCCTCAGAGCCAGGTAAAATTCCCGTATCTCTCACCTCCTTCAACTGTATATTGGATCCACTTTCAACCCTTGCTCAAGGATTTATCTCTCCCCAAAGGATACAGAGTTGGATGGTAGGATAGACGGTGTATCTATACATTTTTTTTATAGGAATAGAAGAGAACTATCACTTCTTACATAGTAAGTGTCTTAATTACTGTATGGCAAGGGTAAGATTTCCATCATGTTTAAGGTTTTCAGTTTGTGCATCTTTACTTTTAAATGCTTATCTTTATT